AAACACATTCGTGTTTGGTGTTCTTTTACAACACATGTCAGAGAGCACGGGGAGAGATAATTAAAATAGTCATGAATGAAATAAGAATGTTAAGAGAAGTATAATTTATATGTTATTTGCAATGTCATTGTGTAACATTTCATTAAACTAGTTTTCCTTCCAGATCTCTGGAAGGAACCAGAATTGAATAAAGCTCCTGTTTAGATGCAGTACAGATGAAAAAAAAGATTGTTGTATATCCTGGGAGCTGCTATTGTAACAAATTTCTTTCTTTTAAATTTTCTAGTTTCTAGCGAAGTGTGTTTGTAAAAGATTGGCCTTGCGTTAGATTCTAGAGCTAAAAGTTTTCAACAAGTTCGTTTTAGACCTCAGTTTCAAACTAATTAACTCTGGCGGGAAGTATGTAAGGATCTTAAGTTTTACTAACGTTTATTTTATTTTAAATCTTTACTATCACTTCTTATTTTCTACTTCCGGCCAGAATTATAAGCGTTAAGGTTTTATGCAAAGTTTGTCTGGCGAACGCCAAGTACTTAAGTTGTGGCTTTTTGCCAAGCGAGAGAGAGGAAGCAGTGAGTCAAGCAGGCCGCTTACCTTAGAAGTTACGCAGTTGCTGTTTGCCTTCCAGGCCAGAGGTTTTAATCCTCTTGATAAATTAAACGTATTGTAGTGTTCACAGTCTCTGTACTACATACGCTTCCTGTTATTATAAGGCCAATCTTCCACGTGTATTATTCTAAAGTTAAATTAGAGTTTAGTTTTATTTTTTACTTTTACGTTAGACCCCGAGTGGCGGGTCATTGTATTCCGAAGTACGGAAGTTATTGTATATAGAGAAAAATAAAGGGTTTTGTATACCCTTCGTCTGTATCCTGTCTACTTACTACAATTAGTGAACATAGCTTTAGTAAGCTCTCTGTTCCTAGTCAGGTCCTTGTATGTTCCCGAAGAAGGTTAGAAGGAACATTGAACCTGATAGCTTTAGAATGAACCTACGTGTAATAACTACACGAATAAATTTCTAGCAGAACGATTTTACATGGGAAGACACTCTGCTCATAAAGTAACACTGATTTGTATGCCGAATTTTTCACCAATTTCATAGCTTTCTATTATCCACTGTGCGAATGAATACCCAGTTTGTGGGCTTTAAAACCAAGCCTAATCTTCCTTAGTTTCGAAATAATTCTGCAGAATTTTAGGCTCACAGCAATAATTTCATTTGACTTCAATGCCTAATGCAAAACGTGAGCGGTATTTTCGTAAATGTTTCGATATATTATATAAATATTAGAGAATTTACAAAATTGGACAAAGTTTTTTTGCGGATGAGAAATCCAGCCTTCTCATGAATATTTTGATTTAGCACATCATATCACATATTTTTTTTATTGAAGAAAAAACATACCTTCGTTTTGTAGAGTAATTAGATTCTATTGCCGCAGGAACGTGAAAAAGGGACAATGCCCTAGCCGGGATTCAAACTCTGGACCTTTCGAATACGCATCCAGCGTGCTTTCAGTTACACCGCGTAGGCAGGCGAAAAGGGACAGAAAATATATTATATACTTCCCTTTTCAAAGGACGACTGGAGATTAGGGGGCCCTATCGCCAAGTCGTGGTGGTGGCGAATAATCATCAAGTTCGGAAGCCACTTGCAGAGCAAACTAGAGTTTTTAGATGTCAGGAAAGTGAAGAAATCGGCATTGCGCTATAAGCTATTTCTCCCACATTCTTAGTATGCCTTCGTGGTGTAATGGCCAGCACACTCAGCACGTATTCGAGAGGTCTGAGGTTTGAGTCTTGGCTATGGCATTGCTCATTTTTCAGGTCTCGCAGCATAAAAAAAAAACCTAATGTCTCTGCAGTGGCGCCCGAACTAAAAAATGTGGTGGATGATGATTCTCGAACACCAGGATGTGGTCGTCCTTTAAAAGGGGCAAGTACATAAGGTATTTCCCCCACCTTCTTAGCGTGCCATCATGGTGTAATGGCGAGCATATTCAGCGCGCATTCGAGAGGTCCGAGATTCGAGTCCCGGCGAGAGCACTGCGCATTTTTCACGTCTCTCAGCATCAAAAAATCGTAATGTCTCTACAGCGCAGGCCAGGATCCGAATTCTTCCCGAACACACGTCGATCGAGTTTTCAGTTACACTATGAAGGCATGCGAAAAGGAGGGAGAAAATACCTTACGGTTTTAAAATGAAACATATTTGTGTACACCATTTGGTTAATTTTGTTATCTCGCTAGAGGATTATGAAAACTTGAAGACTCTAATTAATACATTTTAAAATTACGAAACATAAGGAGGGAGGAAAAACTCTAAAAATGTTGAATCTACGAAAAGGCTTGTTACTATTATTTTTGGAACGAAAGGGAGTTAGAGGAAATACATGTAGTGGCAATGGAAAGTGTGCGTCAAAAAATTTCTACAGGTAACTTAGTTAACTTTCATGGATGAAATTAATGCGACGCTATTGATACCTTTAGGACCTTTCAGTTTACGCACTTCCGAAATGTCTCATTAAATTTGTCTGGCAAAATTACATGCACTAAATACCCACAGCACACATAAAGCCTCTCTATCAAAACATGACAGGTCTTTTAACACCTGGGCCTACGTTAATCCACACGCTTTCCTCCAAATATTATTCTCAAGACTACAATCAATCAATCACGTGGAGGAGTGGCTGCTAGGCAGCAAATAAGCAAAGGCGTTACGTTACACTTCCTTCCTCAAAGCATAATTAAAAAATCAGTTAAATGGGCGTTCGGTTTTCTATATCTTTATTTCATTACCTTTAATAGCTATTTTTAGTCTTTTAAATCAGAATGTACAATAAACCAATGCCTTACAGTTCTGTTCCTACTTAGCCCATTTTCAAATTTTGCTTACATATGCTGTTCCAGAAGAAAAAAGATGACTATAAATATATTTCTACAATTCAATATATAAAAAATCAACTACATTTTTTTAGATATAAATCTTAAAATGTGTGATTGTAGGCAGAAAGGTTTGTCCCTTTCAACTTTCATGTTATTTAGCCTCTTTGTTTTGTAACCTAATTTATTTTTTTAAATAAAGAAGTTTAATTATTTTAAATATGAACTATTAATGTGTTATATTTATGATAAAAATTAATTACAGAAGTTTTTTTCTTTAACAAATCGATAGAAAAATAATTTGCCTTCCACTTCATGTCAAGTTTGTTACCTTGAGATTATTTTACCCAAATTTAGTTTGTAAATCTGTCTAAATGGGGCAGTACATATTCAGTGACATAAGATAAACTAGTCAAACTAAGTTTGACTACTCTGAATATGTATTGCCCCCCTTTAGACAGATTTACAAACTAATTGGGGGTAAAATAATCTCAAGGTAACGGACTTGACATGAAGTGGAAGACAAATTATTTTTATTGATTCGCTAAATTTTTGTTAAAAATTTTCTTTTTCTTTTCTTTTTTTTTTAATATTTTAAATTGCAGAAATATATTTACAGTCATTTTATGCAATACATTGCTCAAACTAAACTTTAAATATTAATTTATCATGAATTTTCTTTCTTTTCTTCTGGAACAGCATATGTAAGCAAAATTTGAAAATGGGCCATATACATTTAACAAAACGAAACGCATATGTAGGAATTAATGTTTTAATATCCTAATTGAAATCACATTAAAAAATTAGAATTAAATCTTCATACAGTAATTGTTACTAACAGTTTATAAATAGACAGATATCAATTTACAGTCACTGCATATAGCGTGTATTTATTAAAGTGCTACAAGCGATAACTGTCAGTGAGCTGTATCTGAGAATTATCTTAGACCTGTTATTTTTTTTAAGATATAAGACAGCAGTTATGCGAACCGTCAAAAAGAACACAACACAAACATAATATATGTAAGATCTTAAAGAGTATTTTTCAGTACAGTTTCCTAATAAAGGATGCATTTTAAAACCAATATCATGCAATTTGTAGAAGCAAGTACTCCCTACAAAATAGCATTTTCAATAAATATATCTATGAAAATATCACTTCAACGAAATTTACATATTTTTAATAATTAAATATTGTATGATCTTAAATTCACTTAGTGCGAAACCGAGTTATTATATATATATTGTTGCGAAATGCCCAGCCGACAGTAAGATAGCTTCCTCGCAAAGCTGGTTTAGAGATGCCAGATTTAACGGGAAATTGTCCATTTGGCGACAAAATTGGCGATATACCATAGAAGGAGCGAGAACATTCTAGAACGAATTCTTACTGGTTTTCCCGAGAATATCCTCGAAGACAGGTCAAAAGCTATATACACCTTTCTTGTACGCGCAGTAGGAGAGTACCTTGAGTAGTATGTTGCGTTTAGTAGTAGTGTCTTGAATTTAGAGATTAGCTCGAAAGCGATCGACAGAGTCCGAAGCTGTACTTTTAGTGCTTTGCCGTGAAGCTGTCTTCACCGTTACTGCCTGAAGGCCGCGTTGTTGATTGTTTCAGCGTGTTTATCGTAGTTTTTTGACGGCTGTAAGCGTTTTTTTAGAACTCTTCTGTATAATGCTGGCGAATAAATTGAGTTTTGATTTTTTATCAATTGTTGTTGTCAATCACTCCAAATCCACGAACTCATAGAACGCAACAATATTTATTGTTGCAGTGTTTTTTTTAATATATATACAACATCGCGTTTTTAATTGAATGAAGTAAAATTAAATCTGATTTCCGATGAAAGACCTAAATCGGTCAATTAATACATTCCATTTCCCTTAAAAAACAGCAAGCAAAAATAACTCGTTTCCCCATAGAAAACAAATTTCATTACAAAAATCTTGACACTATACAATTAGCAATCCCATATTTATTCATTTCAATATAAATTACAGAATAAATGTAAAAATATTTAAGAGTGTTAAAAAAATGCGATGGAAAATTTGAGTAAATTTCCCACGACAAAAACCTACGAAACAGTAGTATAATACATTATTTCTTCACATACCAATTTCTCTGGAACACTGCTTGATATCTGTCGATATAACTAAGGGGTGAGACCTCTCCGTGGGTTCCAGAACAGATTTGTACGGCTGAAAGACTGTTTCCTGTTTTCTATAACTAATAACATAAAAAAAGAAAGAAAACTAAACTAAAAGGAAAGGGGGAAAATTGAAAATAAAATAATAAATGATATTCCTGCATATAATGTAGGAATAAATAATAAAAAATGGTAATAAAATGGTAAAAATAATTAATAAAATGTAATAAATGGTATTCCTGCATATTTGGTGTGCATACAATGTATAAAATATAACACGGATACATTTTCTCTTTAATTAGGTGATAAAATTAAAAGCAAACTAAACATACGTAAAAAAATAATGACATAAAAGTATATATACATAATATACACAGTCTAAAGAACATAATGTTATTGAGTACTAACGTCGATGGTAGACTGTTATGATGTTAAAGCAATTATCTTAACTTGCGTTGACCTTAGATTATCTTAACTTGCGTTAACATGCATCAAAAATAAGTTCTTTTGCACAATCCAATTTCTGATCTGTAGCTACACGTCTCTCAGCTTCTCGTCAATAACAAATCTACCCTCAGCTAAAAAATCCAGCTTTGAAATATACTTCCTACCATTTCACATTACTGCCTACAAAATCCACGATGATGACAATGATTAAAATGATGTATTCTTGTTGAATCTTATACAATTATTATCATTGAAAGCACATATCATATGTGTCTTATACATCATACATGTCTTTGTGTGTTATCGGGTGCTTCTGAAAACATTCCTTTCTAATATTACCAATCGTTAATATATTGAAAAACAGACAAAGATAATCATTTTTGCTGTTATATAGTACTGGTCGCGTGCTTCTAGACAAAAAAAAAAAATCTAACCGTCAATTTACATGCAATTCTACTGAAAAGCATACCAGTCTAAGAAAAGCAGTTGATGGTCATTGATACCGCTTTGAGGATCCCACATCCATTTATGCATTACTACATGCACCACAGATGTAAATTCCATTCATGAAGTCACTAATGCTGGGAAACCAATCTTCAACTGAAAGTTCAGTCTTGATGATTGCCATACAACTGTTATTCTGTTGTTATAATTCATGGACGGAGATGGTTAATTTGCGCACATAACGGTACCTTGGAAGATCAAACCAGTAAGGCTTCTGTCACACATCCGTTTGTTGCGGAAGAACAACTGTTTGGAAAATTTTTTCTGCTTTGTCACAACAGCCAATCACCGCAGATCACTTTGGGGTTAACAGGTAAAAGAGAAAATAATTCTCCAATTACACAAACAAGATGATAGCATTCGGAGCTTATAGCTGATTGGTTGAAAACAAACAACTTCAATTTTTTTTTTTTTTTTTTTTTTAAAGGAAGGAAAAAAATCGCGCATCATTCTTTCAATAGTAAAGCAGGCAGAAATATTTTCCGAAACAGTTGTTCGTATGAAACAAATACATGTGTGATATAGACCTAATAGATTCGATGCGGCCTTTACAAAAGTCCCGAATGCAGATAACTAACTTTGATAAAGTAACTTTTATTTCTAGTAGGCTAAAATAGCTTTAACGTATGCAGTCATACAATAAGAACATTATTTACATTTTCAGACAAAAAAATGCAAATTGGAAACTTTTCGAACTCAGAACTACACAAAATTGCTAGACATTCTAGGGAGGTAGCAAGTATTATTAAATTAATATACATTTCCTCTTGGTAAATATTATAAACTTTTTCAAGCTCTTTGAATGGGGGGAGCTCTTTGAATGAGGGGAGATGATAATCCTTTGTTTTCCAAGCGTGAAAATACATTAACTTCTCTGACTTGATTACAGCAATAGATGAACGTTACATTTAAGAACTCATATTGATTAAAAATGTTTTATAGAATAATTTTGAGAATCACAGAAGTCCGTAAACTGCTTACAAAATCTAATAGTTTACACATCTTTAGAAACAAATTCGATTAATTGTTTGGCGAACATGCAGACATATGATGATAATTAAAAAAATGAGCAGCAAAGCAAACAAAAATATTACTCACTATTGCAGCTGTTTGGCTAAGTCCTGAAATCCATTTTTAAGAGCTAGATCTTCGGGAAGAAGTCTCTCGTGGTTCGGGGATGACAGGGCCACCTGGCTGCCCGGAAGTGTGAGAAAATGTGTCGACAGCTGAGAAAGTCCTAACCGTGCGGAGAAGTGAAGCAACCTCTCAGCGGAATCGACCCCTGTTAGAGAAAATACTTATAAAATATACGCCGAAAAGGTATACAAAACTCAGAAGCCGATAGTGAAAAAAATATAATTTACATCGGCATATTTTAAATAGCACATACAAGATCTTCACAGTATCCTAGCACTTCAAAGGTCTTATCTATATAATCTACTGCCTTAATTTCCTGTGTGCGGTTTGAGTTATCTATGCTTTAGAAGATTCCCAAAATATTTTTATTTGTCAAAGGAAAAGGGAAGACCAAGACCTAAGTATTGTTTTCTCAAAATTGCCCTGATCAAGTGATGTCATTTCAACCAATGTTTCAATGCTCAATTGCGAGTTGATGGAAAGGATTACTATTAATGTTCTACTTTCCCTTCAAATGACACGTGGTATTTTACAGTGCAAGTAGACATTCTACATTACTTTCACCATTTCGATGAATGTTAAAACGAAAGAATCTCCTTCTGTCCGATGTACAAGGTAGGAAAACAGAAAGTAAACCATAAAATATACAATGCAGCACTATTACATTACTTAAAATTAGGAGCGTACTGTGATCCTTACTGTCTTTTAAACTTTACCGTATTTGAATGTGCCACACGATTATATCGCTGTATCAAACTTTCGATATCTCTGTGGTTCTACGTATGTAAGTACGTAGTTCATATGTGGTTTTTGTGCGTCAAATGGATGGTACTGATCCTCAAAGACAGGACAATGTGGTTCCAACAAGCACGGTGCCATAGCCGTACATCACGCTAAACAACAGCATTCCCTGGTCGTGTAATCTCCATTTGGTCAACCAGAATTGGCGCTTAGATTGTAAGATATAAAGCTTTTGGACTTATTTCTTTGACATTTTTTAATCAAAAATTTATGTCAGCAAGCCCACAACCACCTTTGAAAGACTAAATTAAATGCTATATCACTGAAATCCAACCACATATGCCAAATTAAAAACTTCGTAAAAGGAACGAAAATTCGCTAGGAAGACAGCAGTTATTAGATGATTTGTACCATATAATTCCAACATGCCTACTTTATAACCGAACTTAACACTGAACTATGCCTACACTGAAGTGCCACTAAATTAGGGATAGCTAGTCAATAACGAGTTGGGCCTACTCTGGCTTTTATAATGGCTCCCAAACGACGAAGCATAGATTTAATAATTTTCTGGAAGCATTCTACGGGAATTTCTTGCCAAACATCGGGTAGAGCTATCTATAATTTAGGAAGAGTCGCTAGTGTTGTGTGATGAGGTTCCAAACCTTTCTCCAAAACACCCGAAAGATGTTCAGTAGAATTTAAGTAAGGGCTTTTAAGTAGCCAATTTATGACAGAGAAGTTAGAAGAACGCTTATCCAACCAGGCAGTAGCTAACCAAGACATGTGAGATATTCAGTTATCTTGCTAGGATACTCTATTTCCGTGTGAATGACAGGACAACATAAATGGATGGAGATGATCGCCCAGCAACTCTACGTACCAAATCATATTGAGGAAGGTTGGTACAAGTACCAAAGATCCCAAAAACTGCCAAGAGTAAACATCACCAGACCATGATTAAGCCACCATAGGCCTTGTACAGTTCCAATATGCCATACCCGGTTCATGGCTTCATGAGTCTGGCGCTATACTTCTCATCCTCCCAACGGTATTCATTTGTCGGAATTGAGACTCATCATTTCCTGCTACTCATTTCAAGTCCACTAGAGTCTATTCTCTGTACTCTCTTGCGCAGGCAAGAAGTGCAGCTCGAATGGCATGCATTCAGCAAAGGTACTCTCGTGGGTCTACGGCTTCCGAAGCTCATATGGTGAAGCGAGCGTATTGCACGATCTTTTTACTGACTGTACGACTGTCTTCCTGATTCCCTGGAGCTAATTTGAGTTAATGGCTTGGCTTCGTTGATTTCGTACAATACGGCTGAGTCCGTCTCACACTACGCTTGTTCTAGGTTAATTGCAAATTGCCCGATCGTTAGTTCAATTTTTCCCACCATCCATGTATTCTCGGTATACTCTTAACACTGCCGACCTTAAAAATCTTAGCCCGCTGAGGATTTTGGAAATTGAATGGCCCATGCGTCGAGTGCCTACTATCTGTTCGAGATTGAAGCTGTCTAAATCAGAAGTTTTAGCCATACTGGCAATTGAAACGACTGATTAACAACAACCATAGTACTAGCTATATGTGCATTTACCACAATTTCCTCACGTGAGCACAGATGCCGCGCAGGGCTATAAAATTTGCATAGCCATGTCTATCCTTAATTCAGTGCCCCTTCAGTGTATTTTATGATCGGAATTGTTTTTTAAACCCTATCTTCTATTTAAAATTAAAATTTTTCGCTATTGCTGGGACACCCTTCAATTGCAGTTTTCACATGCGCGTCAAAACAGGAGGGTGTAAATAAAGATAGAATTATCTGGAAATACATTTTCATTTCCTTATCTATTGATTACAAAAGCGAAGAAAAAATTGTAATCAATACAGAAACAACCCTACGGAAAATAACTTCTAAAACTTCCTCTCCCCTATTCCTTACTTTAAATCCTCGCATGTGAGAAACACTAATTGAAGTCAAAAATTTTTACAGATACAAAAAAGTATGCATAAGCAGATAAGGCTTTCAAAGGCTACATATTTTTCAATATGTCACTAATTTCATAATTACAAAATTCAGCCTTAATTTGGCGTGGATTTCAATAGAAAGATCACTGGACGACAGGATGAGCCCATTTCTTTAGCAGCACAATTTAATTTTTTTATAAAGTGTTATATTTTATGTCAGCTAGCATTTCTTGAGTTATAATAAATTCTAATGATGAGTAATTGTAATAACTTCGTATGTCTACTGATTGAAAATAAACCTTCTCAGACGGAAATTCCAACGTTGTGTTTGAAACAAATTTCAATGCTGTACCAAAATCTAGCAGTATCCAAAAAGAGGGCATGTATTGTATATCCCAGGTAATATAATCAAAAATGCCCAAACCAGCAAGAATTTCTATTAGCTTTTTTCTAAAATAGAGTTCATTTAGCAACGTATTTTATAATTCACGACGCTTATGTCCTGACAGAATCTTCATTTCACAGGGTTTATTGTCTCAGGTAATGAAAAAAGGAAAACATAATACTTATATTTATTCTAATTCTTTACACCATTACATTTCTAGGCATTTTTTGCATCAGGACTCACTTGGAGCATCCATTTGCTTTTATGGTGAACAAACAGAGAGGTGGAAGAGCACATAAAATGAAGGCTTGAAGAGGGAAAAAATTGTTCAAAATACATATGCAAGGAAAAAAAAACTAAATGTTTCGAATGTTGCAAAGGTAAGATCATTAATGTTAAAAGAAAATTCTCCAAGTTAAAGGAGATTTGCAAAGTCATTAAAATGCTCAGTGTCAACAGTAAACAAAGAGATTAGAGCTTATTTCAATCTTAAAAAGGCGAAAAAGCATAATGTGCATCGCCTTTCTCCACGAGATATCGCCGATTGCAGAATGCGCTGCAGAATTCTTTATGAGAAAAATTTATCCTGACAAAAATGGAAAAATGTTGTAACGATAGAAGAATCTTGGGTGTATTTAGACTGCAATAAAAAACAGATCCATTCATTATCATCAAAGGGGAGAAAATGGTCTTAAAACATGGTTCAGAGAATCTTAAGTAAGTTTTTTGGAAAGGATTTAGGATTTAATTCTCGTTTTTCATATAACGGCAAACTAAAAATAAAGAGAGTGCAGAAGAATGTTAAGATCAACTCCACATACTATCAGGACCATATTTTATACCCAACTTTCAAATATGAAATAATTCCTCTTTATACACAGTGCCATCAGTCAGTAGAACTGCATGAAGACAAAGCAAGCATCACACGTCCAAAATTTAGTTTTAATTTCTTGGAAAAAAGGGAATAAGAAACGGGTATCAAGGCCATATAACCCTTCACTCGCATTCCAACTATATTCCCCATAGATTTTTGGGTTTTCGGACTTTTAAAATGCAGATTTTCCAAAAATAGACCTACAACCCTCCTTGAACATTGGAAAATTGTTCCACAGGGTAAAATACCTCTACCGATACTACAAAAGATTTTATTGTCTTGAAAATTACGGTGTAGAAAGATAGTTAGACAAAGGGTTATCAAACAGATTACTAAAATCACAAAAAGTTCAGGTAAAATATATCTGCAAATACAATGAAAATTGCCTAAAAAATGTGCAAACAGCCTCCGTACCATAAAAAAAAATGGCAAAATAGCCTTTTTAGATAAAAAGTGCTATGGCGAAATGTGTCTCAAAAGTTAACTACGAATCTATTATTGTAACGAGATATATATAAATACCATAACATACAATACCTACGTCAAGTATTAAAAAATAATAATAATAAAATAAAATATAAAACGAGTAACTGCGAGCGAAAATATTAATATCAGGATGCTGAAAAATTGATTAAGCTGTCATTTGATTCAGGTCAAATCATATGACTAATTAATTTGTAGGGTTTATATTTATTTTAACTAACATTTATTTTAAGTTTAAACTATCTTTCCTGTCAAGCCTTACTTTCCCCTAAATTGCCAATGCAGAGTATGTAAATTTTTAGTAGAACGCGCAAGGATTCAATTTGTCAGCGGAAGTAATCTGAGTTAAATAGAAGGGAACGAGTTCGAAAGTGTGCTTTCTGCTTCACGAGCGTGGGGGTGGCTAGTTTAGAATTGAAGAACACGCGTTTTTGCCTGTGTGCTGCTGCAGCAGATTGTTTAATCTTTCAGTAATATTCAGAAGTTTGCTGAATTATCACGTATTTTAGAACGCGGTTTTAGTTACGTTTAGAGAGCCTCGTAATTAGTCACTTGTTACTATTCTTTTTTTTAGTTTCTTTTTTTATTTTACCGCCGGGTCGGCGTAGTTTGTGAGCTCAAGCACGCATTTGTATTTCTAAAGTTGAATAAAACAGGGATTTAAGCCTTCTCAAGACTTTGTCTATT